AATTCATTAAATTATTGAATTACATTATAAAAATTATTGAATTACATTATAATATTTAGGTGTTAAAACATTGAAGATATTCAGTAATCATATAAAATTCATATTTTTTTGATAAATTCATTAAGTTATAGTCGTAAAATTACCATTGGAATTATTTAAATTATATCATAATTAATATTTTGGTGTTGAAATAATTATCACTGTAATTATTTCAATTATATCACAAAGTAATATTTAGGTGTTGAAACATTGAAAATATTTAATACTCATATTAATTTCCTATTTGATTAATTCATTTAAACTATTGCCGTAAAATTATTCGTACTATAAAATAATAACATAAAAGGTAGGAAAAATTTTTTTACCTATATAAAATTAAAGAAAAAAAAAATTTCCAATTTGATATAATTAATTTTAACAACTATTTTCTATAATAAATATTTCTCTTTACTATTCCTCTACTCAATTTTCTTTATTTTGTGAATTATTCGATTATAAATCACTTGGGGATTTCTCGATTTTGTTAAGGACTACTACAATTTAGCAATATTTTGGAATATTTTATCCCTTTCTTTCTTTCTCTCTCTCTCTCTCTCTCTCTTTCTCTTACTTGTTTATTTCTTATTTTCTTAAAATTTGTTAGTTAGCGGCAACTGCTTGAAAAAGATAAAATATTTTTCAGACAACCGATTGAACTACTTTGTTCTTCATTTTTTTCTTCATTTTAGTTTACAACAAATATTTCCATATCAATAGACTTTCAAATTTTGATTTTGTGCTAAAGCAAAAATTTGATTTAAATATACTTTTTTTAATGCTATTCCACAAATTTAGCAATTTCTTCTTCGCTTCATCATCCATTACTTTATCATTTCAGTTTTTTCGATTAAATTGAATTTTCAACAACAAAAGAAAAAATGATCATCTTTTACAATAAATTTCAAATTTTACATTTCCTTTTCTCTCTCCCTCTCTCTCTCTCTCTCTCTCTCCCTCTATTTCAATTGATTATTATGAGAAAAATCTTTTAATAGTTTGCTATCTAACAGCAAAAAAAAAGTTAGCTTCCTCTATGAAAAAGAAAGGAAAAATTGTTTGTTTGTTAGAATTTGAAATTATTGATGGAAAACATTTTTGGAAATTTTATTGAAATTATTTTAGGTTTGAATTATTTTTTTTATTTGTAAATAATTTTTAGGAAATAATTTTATTTTTTTTTTTTTTTGTTTTATTGAATTATTTCAGATTTCGAATTATTTTAAATTTGTAAATAATTTTTTAGAAAATAAATTTTTATATTATTATTTTTTTTTCAAACTGAATTTATGTTTTATTTCTTTTAAATAAGAAATTGTTGAAATATTAGAATGGAAAGTTTTTTCTTTTTTTGGAAATTTAAAATTTCAAACTAATTGGTTCAAAAAAATTAAAATATTAGACTGGAAACTTTCCGGAAATTTGAAACCTTAACCAATTAATTGATAGATATTTTGTAATTAATTAACTACTACACCTAAAATAACATTAACATTCGCCTACTTTACAATTTAGCTCAAAATAAAACGTTCGATTTTTTTTTTTTTTGCGGAATGATTTGAAATTTTTTTGAAATTTAAAAATTATCTAAATTATCGCCAAAAAAATAACATATAAACTGTTTTCGTTTAATTTAGCAATGAATTTTAAATAATCGTTGTACTAAAATTTGTATAAATCAATCAATTTGTGATATTACCTGCATATGTTGCATTATTTAGAATCTCAAAAGTTTGTGTGAAAAAAAAATTTTTTTTTGAATTTTAATTGTCACCACCTGTAATTATATGAAATGGAAAAAATGATAATTGCAATTATAATTGCAAATAGGTGTAATTGAAATATTTGTGATAAATTTATCAAATTGAAATTTGTACATGAATAACTATCGGTTTTAAATTTATAGGTCTGATTGAAATATTTGTGATAAAATTATCAAATTGAAATTTGTGCATGAATAACTATCGGTTTTAAATTTATAGGTCTGATTGAAATATTTGTGATAAAATTATCAAATTGAAATTTGTTTATAAATAACTATTAGTTTTAAGTTTGTAGGTGTGATTGAAATATTTAAGATAAAATTATCAAACTAACATTTGTATATGAATAAGTGTCGATTTTAAATTTATAGGTGTGATTGAAATATTTATGATGAAATTATCAAATTGCAATTTATGAATAACGATCAGTTTTAAGTTTATAGATATGATTGAAATATTTATGATAAAATTATCAAATTGAAATTTGCATATGAATAACTATCGACTTTAAATTTTTAGGTGTGATTGAAATATTTGTGATAAAATTATCAAACTGAAATTTGTATATGAATAAGTGTCGGTTTTGAATTTATAAGTGTGAATGAAATATTTATGACAAAATTATCAAATTGCAATTTGTATGTAAATAACTATCAGTTTTAAATTTGATAAAATTATTTCGAACTTTTCTTTTTGATTTTAATTGTTTGTAAATAAATATTTTGATCGTAAAATATTTTAGGAAATTTTTTGTTATATAAATTATATTTATATTTAATACGAACGAAAAATTAATCGAATAGTAAAAAGAATCTTTAAAAATGATTTTAAAATAATTTCAAAAAAAAAATTTTTATTCTTAGAGAAAAGACAATTTAATATTAAAATTGATATGTGAGATTGATTTCATTTCATTTTTTCAATTGAAGTATAAATGATTCACTAAGAAAATTGTATGTCCAATTTCATTTTCCACAAGTATTTTCATTAATGGTACCATAAAGAAGGATAAATGTTGAGAATAGCGTTGAAAATGGATTGAAAGAGTGGATATTTTAGGCTATTATAATTGATTGAATTTGAGTTATACTGAACTATAAAATTGTAAACTATAAAATTTTGAATTAACTATCAAATTTGAATAAGAAAAAGAATTGTTTTTTTTTTTCATTAATCATAAATCATAATGAATTGAATTTAAATTATACTTATAAAAATTTTAATTATAATAAATTCGAATTATAAAAAACGTTATTTTTCATTAGTCCTAAAAATTTTTACTTATTTATAAAACAAAAAAATGATTAAATAATAATTATGAGCAAATTAATTAAAATATTAAATGAACAATCTTTTGTTCTAATTTTTTAATTTCCTTATAACTTTTATTAATTTATTCTATTCTAGAAATATTAGAATTTTTTGTTGTATTAAAAAAAAATTTTGTCATTAATGTAATTTCATATTATTGTCAATAATAGTTATTAATTTAATTAATATTTTGCATCATCTTTTTTTTAGACTTTTCTAATTTAAATATTTTCGCTTTTATTTAACTAATTTTAACTATTATGATATGATAAATTAAGAGGAGAGAGAGAGAGAGAGAGAAAAGAAAAGACAGAGAGATTTACTATTGAAAATACAATTCCGACTGAATTTTTCTTTGATATTGATAATCAATCGAACAGTTTCTAAAATTACTAAAATATGATAAATTAAGAGGAGAAAGAGAGAGAGAGAGAGAGGTTGATTAAAAGTACAATTCCAATTAAATTTTTCTTTAATATTAATAATCGAATAGCACCTGAAATTGAATGATACGTGAAATTACTAACAGAAACAATTGATAGTTATACGAAAATGTAATATTTTGATGGATATCCTATTTTCACTACCTGAAATTAACTACTTAAAATAAAAATCAATGAGAGAGAGAGAGAGAGAAAGACGTCCATTATTCATTTTACATTGAAAAATGATGTATAAAGGTGAGAATGATTGAATGAAATTAAAATTGAAAGATTCGTTCAATCAAATAGATGCCAATTATTCAATAACATTTTTGCGGCATTGATTACCGCATTCAATTAATAATTCAATAATTTGCTTTTGAGAATAATTAACGTACGTATCGGTGGGCAGATGTTCAGATGAAAGCGAAACATCTAATTATTGAACTAACATATGCATGCATTAGAAATCAATGAAAAAGGAGGAATGTGTTAGGAAGAAAAATCATTGTCCACTTATAGAAGAAGATCTGGACAGATGTGAGTGGACAGCTCATCCTTTTCTCTTTCTTCGTTTTTCTCGGCAAAAAATTGATTCATTCATTTATTTTCAGATTTTTAAAATTCTAACTTAAAAAGGAATTGAAATTATTTTTAATGATTAATTTCCTCTTAATGAATAATATTATGATTTTAAGTTTTGAATTTTGAGTTCTTACTTAAATATAATAATTTAAATTTTTTCAACTTCATTTTTGATATATAGAAATATATAAACGGAAATTTTGGCGAAGATATTTTATAATGCTGTCATGTAGGGAACATGCTGTCATGTAGAATTTATAAATGATATATGAAAATATTAAAATTTTTAATTTAAAAATTTAAATCAAAATTTTTTTCATTGTTATAAATGAAAAAGATTTTTTGTTGCTAATTAAAATCATTTTGGTTGTTAAACTTTTATCAATAATTAAAATCTTTTGTTTTTAAACTTCTATCAATAATTAAACCTTTTCTAATAATTATAATGCTAATTAAAATTATTTTGGTTGTTAAACTTTTATCAATAATTTTAAACCTTTTGTTTTTTAAACTTTTAATAATAATTAAACCTTTTCTAATAATTATAATCATTTGATTGTAAATTTTTGAATTCTCTACAGCTTTCATAAAAAATTTTTTTATTTAACGAATTTTACATATTCATCAAATACGATTTCTTTAATTAAAATTAAATCTGTCTAATTTGGATTTAAATTTTCAGAAATTTTACAGGTATCAAAGGATTACTTTTGTGGATCACGAAAAGAAAATTTTTTATAATATATTTGTGATAATTCGTATACATACGCTTGCTTCTATTGGCTGTCTATTGCTAATTACATACGCATAGATAATATTCAGAAAAAAAAAAAAGGTCAATTGTCCTCAGAGATATTGGACCACTGGATGGCCGTTTTAAGTAATGTATGCGGGTCAATCATGGAATTTGAGCGAAGAAACAGTATTGCTCAATCATCACTACCAACTTGGAGATATCATCGAACGGTTATTTAATTTTCAACTTTATTTTGAAATGTATTCAAAAAAAAAAAAATAAGGTCAAAATTTCTTGTGGTCATTTAATTTTTTTTTTTAACGAAAAATTTTGCATGAAATTTTGGCAGCATTTTAATTTTAATTTTCTTATGAAAAAAATTTTGAATATTATTATGTTAGAAAGCAATTGGTAGTATCAGAATGATTAAGTAAGAAAAAAAATTGGTTACAGGTAATTAATTGATTAATTAATTAATTAGTTTAAAAATTGGTGAAGCTTTAAAAATTTTAAGAAATTTATCAAAAATATTAACAAATTGACATTTGAATGAAAAATGTTAATTTTTAAGAATTAAAAAAAAATTTATCAGATAAATGTTGATAAACTTTCAATTGAATGAAATATGTTGTTGTAATACAATACTGATAAAAATTAATTTATATTATTGTTAGATATTGATTTCGAATGAATTTCTATTATTTTAGTAAATAATATTATCATATGATTGATAGCTTATCATATTTATATTTTGCAGTGGTCCCTTAAGCACAGTTTATCGTGCTGTACATCGTATAACTTCAAAGCTTTATTCTGTGAAAAGTATCAATTTGCAAAAATATTCTATCACTTCAGGATTAATCCGAACAGGTAGGTTATCATCGACTTTTTTCATTTGCTTTGATAAGAAAATTATTTTATGTATAATATCATTATTGTTAGCGTTTATCATCTTATAATTGAATTAGATTAAATAAACTTATCGTTCATATTATAAAAATAAATACGCTTGAATTAATCACGTTTATTTAATTACTTCAAATTTTAGCATGATTGCGCTTAAATTAATTACATTTAGTTAAATTACTTCATGTTATAAATTAGTCTTATACGTCCAATTTACGTTTAAATTAATTACGTTTAGTTAAATTACTTCATATTATAAATTAATTGTGTGAGTTTAGTTACCTTTAAAATTGTTTACGTTTAGATTAATTGCTTCATATTATAAATTAATTGTATACGTTTAATTACGTTCAATTTAATTATTTCCTAATACAAATTAATTGTATACGTTTAGTTACGTTTAAATTAATCACGTTCGATAATTAACTCGTGTTGTAAATTAATTATGCTGATATTTATTTACAAAAATTAAATTAATTTATCACATTCTCGTTCATTTGATAGAATAATGAAAAAGCATTGTAAATTATTGTTGAAGAAATGTTAGTAAAAATTTCAGATGTGGATAATGAAATTGAAATTTGCGCCGTGCTAAAACATCCATTCTTATGTGAATTAAAGGATGTAATAGCTGGTGATAAAGCTGTTCATATGGTTTTTGAATTTCTTGATGGTGATGATATATGCTTTGAAATTGTTAAACGAGCTAGTGCTGGTTTCGTTTACAGTGAAGCTGTTGCCAGGTGTGGAAAAACATTTTTTATTAAAAAACAAAAATGAAGAAAGAGAATCGAACTCCAGTATTTTTTATTATCCTGATTAATTGAAATGTTAATTTTGATAAAATTAAAATTAAATTAAATTAAAAAAAAAAACAAAAAACCATTTTATCTTATCAGATGATCAATTAAATAAGCATTTTGTGATAATAAAAACAAGGAAGAAAGAATTTTAGTACTTGGATATCATTTGAAATGGTAATTTTGATAAAATTAAAATTAAATTAAATTTAAAAAACAAAAAATCATTTTATATTATCAATTGATTAATTAGATTAAAATTACAAGGGATGAAAAATGCTAAGAAATTTCAATAATCATTATTATTTTATTTATTAAATATATCGATTCATGTATTTCTTATCATAAATACGGTGGAATTTTATCAGTTTCAATTCATTTTTCCTTTGCATATTATCTTTACAAATTATTTGCTAATGTATTTTAGGTTTATGTCTCAGGCCTAGGCTTTAGGCTTTTTTTCATTAATAAATAAATTTTTATTTAAAAAAATTTTTTGTTTCTAGCCATTATATTAGACAATTAATGCAAGCATTAGAATATATGCATAGCCAAGGGATTATTCATCGTGATATTCGACCGCATAATGTTGTTCTTGCAAGGTAAGGCAATATTATTTAGATGATACCTTATTTTTAATTATTTTATTAATTATTGAAAGATATAATTTTAAGACTGTTACAAGTAATTAATGTTAATTTTGCAGTAAAGATAATTCTGCACCATTAAAATTGACCGGTTTTGGTGTTTCAATTAAATTACCTACTCCAACTGCAACTATTCGAGCTGGTAAGTGATATCTTTCAATTGTATTTATTCATTTTAATGCTTAATTTTCCTTCTTTTAAATAAATCTTTTTTGATAAAATTATAAGATAGAAAAATTGGAAAATTTCAGGTCGTGTTGGTGTATCACATTTTATGGCACCTGAAGTTGTAAGTAATGCGGAATATGGTACAAAAGCTGATATGTGGAGTGCTGGTGTATTACTTTATATACTCCTTTGTGGACGTTTACCATTTATTGGCACACGACACGATATCTATGAGGGTATCACCGAAGGAAGATATTCGGTATATATATATATTTGTATAGATTAAAATTTTATTAGAAATTGATACGAATAAATTCTGTATTATTATTATTATTATTATTATTATTATTATTATTATTATTATTATTATTATTATTGTAAGATTTATTTTTCCTTTTTATAATAATAATTTTGTTGAAATTCAAGAATATAAATATATGAAAACATTTTAGCATCATGGTGGAACATGGCAACAGATTAGCGATTCAGCAAAAGATTTATTAATCAGATTGCTCACCGTTAATCCAAATAATAGGATATCTGCAGAAGGTGCCTTAAATCATGAATGGTTACGTGAACGTAGTCGATATGCACCACGTAGACATTTACAAAATACTGTGGAACAAATTCGAAGGTATAATGCACGTCGAAAATTAAAAGTAAGCTATAATTTATTTTTGAATGAAATTAAACAATTAATAATATTTAATTGTCATTATTTTATTGATTAAATTATTTGACAAAACATTTAAATATTCATAAACGTGCAGTAATATTTAACGTTTTAATTTATTTAAGAATGATGAAATATTTAAATGTCCTATTTAAGGATGATATATTTAAGAAAGATAAAATATTTAAATGTCCTATTTATCCTATTCAAGGGTGACATATTTAAGTATGACAAAGTATTTAAATATCTTTAAAATATTTGATCATATTTAAGGTTTAGTTATTACAGTAATATGTAAATCATACTACTGCATGAATTATATCTCTTGGAAAAATTATAATTAAATTAAATTAATTTTACTGTAATATTTTCATTTCAATTTCATCGGTTCCATGAATAAATTCAAGTAATGAATTGTCGAAAATTTTGTAGTAGATGAAGAATGAAATTAATCTTGATAAGTTACCCATGATAAGTTATTTGATAAAGTTGAGACAGCTGCCCAATTTTCAACAATGACAATTTTTTCAACTTACTTGAAATTTATAAATCATTTCGGGCTTATTTTAAGCTATTTGACTTTAGCCAATAATGAAATTGATGTCTAATTTGTGCCGGAGAATTTCAAAACAATAGCATAAAAAACAATTTATATTTGATTCAAATTTTCAAATTCAATAAATATGACAAAAACGGAATGATTTATGGTTACTGGTAGATGAGCTTCATTATAGAGCAATATATTATCGGCTGTAAACAACGAGAAATGGTCTGAAGGATATGATTCCTTCAATGATGTAAACATAAATGATACCGCATTTGCAACATATTCACATATTGCCGTTAGTGGTGATCTATTACCTGGTGGTGATACATGTGATGCGGATGGTTGTACAAGGCGTGGTCCGGATCAAGTAATACCGAAAGATTTGTCCGGTGTTGAAAAGGTACATTATTCTAGAAATCAATCATAAATAAAATGCATATTTGTAGTCCGGATCAAGTTAATACCGAAAGATTTGTCCGGTGTTGAAAAGGTTCATTATTCTACCGAAAGATTTGTCCGGTGTTGAAAAGGTTCATTATTCTAGAAATTAATCATAATATATCTGTATGCAACGTTGTTGCAAATATAACAAACTGCTTACTATCAAGTAAATCATAATATCTATAACTGGACTAAAATTGATAGAGAAAGATTTGATTTGATAATTTATGCAAAACAATCATGCATATTTTACATAACCTTCTTTTTCCTATTCTTTTTATTAATTCCAAAAAACAATAAGTTGTATATTAATGTCCTAAATTTCAATAAATTTTCTGAGGCAAATTTTAATTTTGAAGCTTTGTTAGGTTTTATTTAAATTCCTTTAAGTTCCATAAGAATGTTGGATTTGAAGGGATTTTATCTCAGAAATATTATGGCTAGTTTCTATTGCATTCCTCATCGATATGAATGTATCGGTTGTTGTAAATACATATATTTTCCTCCAAATTTAAATTTATAAGAAATATTTAAATAACGAATATAAATAATGAATTTATTTTATACATCTAATATAAATATTAATGAATAAGAATAGAATAAAATCATTTATTCGTCTAACAAATGAAATTTTATTTACTAATAATTAATTGCTAGTAGTAACAAAGATTTAATTAATTCACCCATTGAATTTTTTAAATTTTGTAAAAATTTGAAATTCCCTAAAAAAAAAAGCATAAATAAATTGTCAATCTTTTTTTGAAATGTCTAAAAATATTCATACAATGAAATGCCTAAAAATAAACATAAATAAATTGCTAATTTCTTTTTTGAAATGTCTAAAAATAAACATAAGTAAGTTGCGCATTTCTTTTTTGAAATGCCTAAAAATATTCTCACAATGAAATGCCTAAAAATAAATATAAATAAATTGTTCATTTTCTATTGAAATGTTTAAAAATATTTTTACAATGAAATGCCTAAAAATAAACATAAACAAATTGCACTTCTTTTTTTTTTCTTTGAAATGCCTAAAAATATCCTTACGATGAAATGGCTAAAAATAAATATAAATAAATTATTTATTTCTTTTTTGAAATGCCTAAAAATATTCTTACAATGAAATGCCTAAAAATAAATATAATATAAGTTGCGCATTTCTTTTTTTGCATATAAATTAAGATGAATGAAAATTTTTGCAGGAGGAAAATTATATTAAAGAATTTTTGAATTGAATAAATTTGTCGTAAAAAACTAAACAAGCAAGCTCTAAGAGATAATTGATATCGGCGGAATAATTTCTAAGCCAAACATTTTAATTTAATTTCATTTTTTGTTCACTCTTTTAATTTCTTCTCTCTCATCCAAATCATACTATATCTAATCGTATTCCGAATTTCTTTTACAACTCATATAATATTTTTTCAAAACTTTTTTCAGGCTAAATTTTATTCTCTTTTCAAATTTGATCCAGTATTGTTTTTTTTTAATTTTATTTATATATTCATTTTTGAATGGTATAAAATGAGTCATTCTTGAATGTTATAAAGTGAGCTGATATGTTAAGATATGAAATGAGTCATTTTTAAATGATATAAAATTGAATGATATAAAATGAGCTGATATGTTAAGATATAAAATGAATTATTTTTAAATGATATAAAATTGAATGATATAAAATGAGCTGATATGTTAAGATATGAAATGAGTCATTTTTAAATGATATAAAATGAGTTTGAATGATATGTTAATTTTTAAATCACAACCTTTCCTTATCCATCACTAATAAAATATTATAATTTTGATAATCATTAGCTATCGATTCGATTTATGAAAATTTTAAACGAAGCTTTTTGAAATATTATTATGATGAATTAGTTCATTTTAGTTCATTAAGATGATAATATAATTTGCAGATTTTAAAATCATTGGATCAGATTGCTACACTTGTGGATACATCCTTTAATGCTGAAATTATGAATCCATCGATAATAAATTCATCGCTAGAAAATGCTGATTTAAAAACAATCCTAATGGTAAGTTTAAAATGTTTCATAATTCTTCAATTAATTCAATTTCCAAAACTCATTGTTTTTCGTTGTTGTTGTTGTTTTACTATTATCCAGTACATTAGAATTAATTAATAAATTTATTCAATTACTCAAAGTTAAGAAATTTCTTAATTAATTAAATTTAAATTTTTCAAAATTGAAAATGCCACATTTATAAATATTTCTAAAATTTTTCCTTCTATGAATTTCATGTTTAACAATAATATACAATTGATCAGTACTTTTTATTAAACTAAAACGGAACTTTACGAGAAATCCCGGGGGATTTATGGGGGGTTTTTTCCATATGTAAAATTTTCTTTTAATATACTTTTCTGACATTCATCAAATAAAGTCTAACAGAAATTTTAAATGATAATATTATATTTCGGTGTATTATTCTTGATTAGCATTTATAATTACAGGTATTATTCCTGATTAGCTTTTATAATTATGCTGAATTTATCATCAAATATGATTTAATTATAGAGATTTGCAAGTTGTTTTTACAATTTTAATAATTAGAAATGGAATGGCTTAAATTTTAAAATCATTTATTTCAAATATTTAAATAATTAAAGAAAATTAAACTGTAAATGGATATTCAGGTAATATTCGAGAAAATTAAACAGGTAATATTCAAAAATGCAGTAAATGATATGTGAAGTATATTTGTACATTAAATCTCTCTTGAATTAATTATTTCTAAAGGTGTAAATTTATTTTCAGGAAATAAATAGAATAGGTATAGATTTAAGAAATACATGAATTTCCATTAAAAGAAAGAGATGAAATTTTGTAGGAAAAGATTAAAAGAATTTTTTTGTCTGATCTCTTATTTAAAATTATATGTTATCAATCATTTTTTACTATATTAATCCATTCAAATTTAGCACTAACTAATATGCTCTTATCCATTTCAATCTTATTCCATTATTCATTCCATCTATATGATCCGATGATTTATTGATGTTTGGAAATCTCGAGAATATAATATTGATTGAGAATTATTTGTTGTAATAATGTATTAATTGTAATTGGTCAATCTTGACCATTTAAACAATTCATCATTTGGTTGTATTTCATTAGCGTTAGCAGCGTGCTTTAATAGCTCATTGAAATGATCAAAATTGATTGTTAAATGTGAAATTGTTGAAAATTATCCAAAAGTGATGATCAGTTTAATAATGGCATAAATAGGATAATAAATAGGCAAATCTACTAGCCTATATACTTTTGCTTTTACCTAAAAATACCTTATCCAATTTCAAATTTAATTCCTTCCTCTATTAATTTTACAATCTTACTTCATTAAATCTTAACGCAAATCAATAGTAGGCCTATAAAAATTGTCAATTGTTTAGTTCATCTGAAAACAAAAATTTCTTTTCCAAATCTTTTTCTTCTTTGTCATTTTATAGAATTATTTAATTTAAATTTAAATTGTTAATTTAATGGAACAATTACAATAAGTATTGTTTTTAGTAGTTATTTTCCATTGCAAAATTTTAAGATAATTGAAAAATAATTAACATATTCTATTTTATTTTAAATTGATAATTAATTTCCAATATCTTCCTCTCACTCTCTCTCTCTCCTCTCATTTTGTAGATTTATTTAATTCGAATTTAAATTGTTAATTTGATGGAAGAATTATAGTGATTATTGCTTTCAGTAGTTATTTTCTATTGTAAGATTTTTAAATGATTGAAAATAATTAACATATATTATTTTATTTTAAAATGATAATTAATTTCCAATATCTTTCACTCTCTCTCTCTCTCTCTCCTTTTCTTTACCTCTATCTTTCATAGATTGAAAATCTTTCCAAGAATATATGATAATATCAGTTAATGGATACTACTATTTTAACTAAGAATTTATTTCCGATAATAAATTATTTCCTATATTTTATAGGAAAAGAGAGAGAGAGAGAGCGAAAGGAAGTAAGAGAGAGGAAGAGGGAGAGTATAAGAGGTAAAAACCTCTCAATGAGAGGTTTTTACCTCTCATTCTCTCCCTCTCTCTCTCTCTTACTTTCTTTCACTCTCTCTTTCCTAGTAAATTTGTTTTAAATTGAAAATCCTAAAAATATGATAACATCAATTAATAGAATTTAGAAATGAAAATGTAATTCTTCCAATAAAATGATGCAACATTTTTATTTTCCTCTCTCTCTCTTTTCTTTTTTGCTATTTTTTCAATTCCAATTTCAATTTCAATTCCAATTTCAATCCTAATTCCAATTCCAATTTCAATTCTAATTTCTTGTAAGAATTTTAAAAAAAAGAACATTTTATATTATATTTTATTAAATTTCAACTTTTTCAATTTTAAAATATTTTTAATAATTGCATAAATTTTACAATTTTATTTTTCATTTTTACAAAAAAGAAAGAAAAAAGTTTTTCATTCGTTTTGTTTCTTTTTAAATTTAATTTTTTAAAAATAATTTCTTTTTTTCTCTTCCACTCTTTCCTTTTCTTTTAGTATTTTCGATTAATTTCAAAATTTAACGAAGGCAAAAAAGAAGGAGACAAATTTTAACGTGAAAAAAAGAAGTATTACTGCCACCATTATTGAATTGAAATTAAGAGGGAAATGTTATTCCTTCAAATTCAAATCAATTCATTGCAAAAGAAATTTAAATAAACTTTCTTCTCATTTCTACATTCTCTTTCCAATTTATCCTTCTTTTTTCAATATTTCAGATCTTCTATCTCTCTCCCTCCCTCTCTCTCTCTCTCTCTCTCTCCTTTAAAAAGTTTTCATAGTTTTTTTTTTATTAATTACGAAAACAAAAGAAGAGGAGGAAATTTTTTAATTAGTTAATTGTCTTTAATAGCATTCATAATTTCATTATTTTATATCATTTATAAAATTTAATATATAATTTATTTAAAATTGTAAAAATTTTTAGATAGCATATATAATTAACAATGTGATAAATAAGAGAGAGAGAGAGAGAGAGAGAGAGGGGAAAGATGGAAGAGTATCAAAAGGTATTAAATTAAGTAAAAATTTTTTAATAATTAAAAATTATATTCCAATTAATTTTGATTATAACAATAGTTAATTATAAGAAGTTAATGAAATTTCAATTTTCATTTTCACTTAACACTTTTATTATATATATCAGCTGATTTGTTGATTTTACTGTTAAATAACATTTTTAAACAAACATCCCATCTCTGACTAATTCAAATGCTATTCCTTTCTTTCTCTCTTCTCTCCTCTCTTTCCCATCATTTCTTTTCCCTTCCCTTGAAATAAATTGACATCCAAGCTAAAACATAACATATGTTTCACAACGGATACATCTCTCTCTCTCTCTCTCCCTCTCTCTCTCTTTCTTTCTCTTTCTATGGCATAGTATATATATGTGTGTATGAGTGTGTGTGTGTGTGTATGTATATGTTTGTATGTATATGTATGTGTATATATGTAAGATAATTCCATCTTCAGATTTCCTTTTAGCTTTTCCCCAAATTTTTCGCTTTGATGAAAGTTTAATTTTAGTATGATTTAAGCGCTTTGTTTGTTTGTTTGTTTGTTTTTAATTATTAAAATTGAAAAAAAAAAATTAATTTGTTTGTTTGTTTTTTTTTTTTAAAAATAAAATTGTTTTTTAAATATTAAAATTAAATTAATTTTAATCAATTTTCATTATTTTTCTTTTTTATCAAACTTTTTTTTTTTAGTTTTTAATTTTTTAAAAATGAAATATTTTCCAATTGAATTAATTAACTATATGTATATAGCTATGTGATTTAATAATTAAAAAATGAAACATTTTCCAATTGAATTAATTAACTATGCGTATATAGCCATGTGATTTAATTAGCTATGCATATATATATATATATATATATATATGTATAACTTCTCCTTTTTTTCAAATTTTTTAAAAATGAAATATTTTTCAATTAAGTTAATTTAAGTTAACTATGCGTATATAACTATGTGAATTAATTAACTATGCGTATATATTATGTATTGATGATAAAATTCAAAAAAAAAAATTAGTAAA